AGAGAGAGAGAGAGAGAGAGAGAGAGAGAGAGAGAGAAAAGGAAAGAAAAAGAAAAATTATCTTTAATATGGTGAGACAACTTTTCTGGCTGGTTCTAATACGCCTACGTTAGAAATTTTCATTTTGATTCTTGTTTACATCATACGTTTAATCAATCAATCGATAGATTAGATGTATACATAATATTTGTATAAAAATATTTATTAATGATAATAATGATAAATAAATGAAATTTTTAAGAAAAAAAATATATATTGTATTCTATATATATTGTATATTCGTTGTTAATATGATAATTAAATGCACTATTTTAAAAAATTTCTAATTTCTTATTAAAAGTTGGAAAAGTTTTGAATCCTAATATGGAAACTATTTATTTTTGTTCGCTCGAACTCTCCTTTATTTTTCTATAAAGTCTTAAAAAAATTTGTAGAAAAGAATCAGCTCAATATTTTTTAACACAATCTCTTATAAATGTATAATACATAATAACTAATAAATACAAGAAAAAAAAAAATTAAAACAAAAAATCACCAAACCATAAAAGCACCTTGTAATATAATTTTGAATAATTTTAGAAAATTCAATTTTTGTTATTATATGTAAAAAAAAAAACCTTAATACACATAATATTGAATATGTATTATGAAAAAGGAAATAAATTATGACACGAAGTTCTTTTCAAAACTTTTTTAAAATACATATACGCGTGTAAATACTTTTCCGTGTTTTATTCGACTGTTTGGTAGCTTATCAGATACGAAGACAATTACCTTCGAGTTTATCAAGAAAGTTTCTCTTATCGGTTGCATTAAATCAGACAAAAATAATCTTCCATGTTTTTTTCTTTTCTTTACTTTTTTTATATTATAAGATTCATACATTCTTCTAACGGAAGAGAAAAATTGTTCGTTTCTTTCGATTATATAAATATAATAAATAGTTGTATTATTTTATTGTATATATATATATATATTTTTATAATAAACAAAAATTTCTCGCGTGTTATAAGTTTAAACAAAATGTTTTTTCTTACTCGTAAATTGTTTATTCTTGACGTAGGTTACAAAACTTTTTTTTCGGCCAAGTACGAGTAATTATTAAGTAATTAACTCGGCAATTAAAAATAGTAAACGAAGATAGGCGTAAATTGTTTAGTCCTTATCGAGCACGTTGATATACTGTCTTTTTTCAAAAAATGAAAAAAAAAACAAATAC